CCTTTCACCTCCCTGCATTGTGCCTACATATGCAAATTAACCTCCATCTTGTTGGCAGTTAACTGCCAATCTTAGTTGGCAGTTAATTTGCATATAGCCCTGATTAGCCAATGAAAAGGGTAGCGTCGTACGCCAATTACCATTTTTCTCTTTTATTAGTGTAGATTACAGTTTAGACATTATGTCAAGGTTTTCTGCATCTGAGTCCACCGAAGATAAAGGAACCAACTATTTTATCTCAACAAAATGCAAGTCAAGTACTACTATGCTAGAAATTTTAAAGAGGGATAGGCACATAAGTGACTTATACTACACTGTTAAGAACTACCACAGAAATTTGTACGAAGAGCTTAGAACACAAAACAATTCTACATGGCAATCAGGGAACATTACAAGAAACATAACTGAAGTTTCTTGTGCTATCATAATAAATCAGTTAATCTCCCATTGTGGGTTATTTGCTTACATCCCAACTCATTAAAACACAGTAAATGGTTTGTAGATAGATGTAATCTATAATAATAAAAGCGTAATATGCTAATTTGACTGGATAACCTTCCGGACGAAGCCTTAAATGCAAGAGCCAAGCCCTTGCACAAATTTTGTGCATTGGGCCTCTAGTAAAAAGATAAAAGAAAATGAGGAAACTCAGGTAAGGCAAAAATACAGGTCAGAAAAGATGAAGCCAGGGCTACACCCAACTTTTGCTTGGGACAGACAGATTCTCTTGTTCTGAGACCTGTTTAAAGTTCCCAGAACTTGCCCTAACTGGTTTGGCTCTGCGGATAGAGCGTCAGCCTGCGGACTCAAGGGTCCCAGGTTCGATTCCGGTCAAGGGCATGTACCTTGGTTGCGGGCACATCCCCAGTGGGGAGTGTGCTGGAGGCAGCTGATTGATGTTTCTCTCTCATCGATGTTTCTAACTCTCTATCTCTCTCCCTTCCTCTCTGTAAAAAATCAATAAAATATATTTTAAAAAAAAAAAGTTCCCAGGACTAGTTCTCATAGGAGGATAAGTTTTATACCAAATCTCAATTCAGTAAAAGTCAATAGGAAGGTGAACAAAATATGCACCAGGTAGAAACCATCAGATGTGACTTAATCCTGAGGTCACAAAATCAGATGCCCTCGGGGGCATCCAGGCGTTGACAACAGAGAGTGGTGAGACTTCAGAAGATTGGTTCCCTTATCTAAAAGCAACCTTATCAATTCTTTAAAAAAAATGTTTTTTTAAATCCTCAATATTTTTCTATTGGCTTTCAGAGAGAGTGGAATAAAGAGGAGAGGAAAGACAGAAATATTGATGTAAGAGAAACATATCCAATTAGTTGCCTCCTGCACATGCTCCAACCAGGGCTCAGGCCGGGGAAAGCCTGCAACTGAGGAATGTGCCCTTGACCAGAATCGAACCCAGAACCCTTTGGTCCGCAGGCAACACTCTATCCACTGAACCAAACCAGCTAGGATTCAATGTGGGCTAGGTAAAGTCTAACACATGTCAGGCTTATGGATTAAAAACCTTTATTCAAGTATCTGGCTATATTCCAAAAATGAAGCCATGCTTGGAATATATTAAGAATCCTATATAATAAAAGTGTGGTATGCAAATCGTCCCCTCGACCGGAGTTCTTCTGGGAGTTGGACCAGGGGGCGGGCTGGCCAGAGAGGCCCTGGCGCTGGTAGGCAGCCAGGGGAAGGGAGGGAGGCCCCGGCCAGCAGCCGCTAGGGACCCTACCAGTGCATGAATTTCGTGTACTGGGCCTCTAGTCATATATATGTCAAATGAATGAATCCAAGAATAAAACTTATAATATCTCATAAACTGAATGGACTTCAATCATCCATAAGTATTGGGCAGAAAGAATAATGCACAAATTTTTTTTTAAGAAACATATACAAGGACTGTTAATCATGGGTTCAGGGTTAGAAAGCAGAGAGAGGTATTACAGAGATATTTTTCTTTGCAGTTTTATATTTTTAAGCATTGTTTAAATTTTTATCATGAGATTGTATTGATTTTAATTTGAATATATTAATTGCAGAAATTACAATTGAGCTGTGTGTTCAAAATTATATTCTCTAACAAGAAACTAGAGGACAGTTATTTGGTTATTTGTTCCTTTATATTTTTTAATCCTCACCTGGGAATATGTTTCTCATTGATCTTAGAATGAAAGGAAGAAGAAAGGAGAGAGAGAGAGAGAAAATCATCTATTGGCTGCCTCCCTGTACACACCCCAACCAGTGGGTGATCAAACCTGCAACCTAGGTATGTGCCCTGATCAGCAGTCAAACCTCCAGCCAGGGCTGGTTATTTACTCTTAACAGGAAGTGGAGTTTTTTCAAAATATGTTTGATTAACTGACATTACATGTTAGGATGCCTGACAAGGGACACAGCATCAAAATGCATATTTATGGGTCCTATAACTATAGAGCAAGCCATTTGCTAAATGTGGGATGGGATCACAGAACTTAACTTTTTTTTTTCTTTTAAATATGTTCCTATTGATTTCAGAGAGGAAGGGAGAAGGAGAAAAAGATGAAAACATCAATGAGAGAGAATCATTGACTGACTGCCTCCTGCATGCCACCTACTGGGGACTGAGCCTGCAACCCAGGCATGTGCCCTTGACCAGAATGGAACCCGAGACTCTTCAGTCCACAGGCCGACGCTCTATCCACTGAGCCAAACCAGCCAGGGCTACATGTTTCTAACAAGGATCCACAAGGACTCTGATGCAGGTGGTCTACAGATCGCCCTTGGAAAACACTGCCCACCAGTGATTGTTCTCTTTTTGACCTCAAGACCTTCCCCCGGCCCTCACCGGTCTGGCTCAGTGGATAGAGCATCAGCCTGCGGAATGGGGGGTCCTGCGTTCGATTCTGGTCAAGGGCATATGCCTGGGTTGCGGGTTCGATCCCTAGTGGGGGGCATGCAAAAGGCGTCCAATCAATGATTCTCTCTCATCACTGGTGTTTCAATCTCTCTCCCTCTCTCTCTGAAATCAATAAAAATATATTTTTAAAAAAGACCTTCCCCCAACTCCAACCCCTGCCCATCACCACACTTGCACCCAGCTCCTTCCAAATTCTTTGCTGCCAATTTAAGACAGATTACCTAGGTTTTGAGACTCAACCATGTGGAGGGCAGGGCTGCGCTCTCAGAATAATAGGAACATTATTAGAAGTCAGACTGTGAGAAAACTAGCCCACCTCCATAGCTGGTCCAAGATTTCCTGAGAAAACAATGCTTGATCTATTTCATCACAAACATGCTATCAAATACATAATATTCTATGTCACACAGCCTGACCACAATAACCTCAGCCTAGAACATTTCCAATGGGTCACTACAGACATTTTTAAAAACCTCAACACACCTACAGAACGTTTGATGATTAGCAATATAGCACTAAGAAACAGCTTTTTCTGCCACTTTCTGTGGGCACACTTACCTATCTTCTACTGTCTTGTTGGAAGGATAAAAAACTTTGAATGAAAATCCACTTCTTGGAAAAGAGCCCTTTGGGGGGGAAAAATGTCTGTAAATGAATACTCAACTTTTATAGAAAAATTCCTGTTTTTAAAATCAAATTCCTTGGTCATCATGACTTTAAAAGTTATAAGATGTGACTATAAAGTGATGTGACAGATTTTTGCTTGATCTTTACAGAGAGAAGATATTACTATAAAATATCTACTTAAAGCAAACATCTTTCAAGTTGGCTAGACCATCTTATGCTAACAGGTGTGACTGGAAATATAAGTAGGAGTGGCTCTACTTAGTAAAAGGACTATGTATGATGTTAAAGATGCATATAAGACACCCAGAATCTTTAAGGAATTTTTCCTATCCCTCTCCCCAGTGAAAATCTGGGTTTCATGGCCCTTCGACATGCCCTCAAAGCAACTGAACACACATACAGATGTCTGTCCACTACTAAGCTAGGGTAGAGACTCTGTCCTTTCAGTCTTTGTGTCCCTGGCACATTGCCATGCCCTTTCCAAGCATTTGTTAATGTACATAAGTACTAAGAAGGGATGAAGCAATGTCAAAGGCAAGTTTTGGACCCAAAAGGTATAAATAAGGTAAAAAAAGATGTAACTATGGTAGAAAGTGGTTTATTCACCTACAGGATGAAAAGGTGGAAAATTTCAGAAATAAGGCATTTTCAAATAAAGCATTAATTATGAGAATATCCAAACTATTCGATTTAAATAAAGATATAGCCTCTGTTAACGAATATTAAATTGTGAATAGTCTACAAAAATCAGGCCACAAATTTCAAACAATAAAATAAAATCAGTTGACTATGCTCATCCTTAGAGTAGTTCTCAACCAAGGACAATTTTGCCCCCCAGGGCACATTTGTCAAATATCCTCAGACATTTTTGATTGTTATAAATTAGGGGCTGCTAGCATCCAGTGGATTGAATCCAGGGATCCTGCTAAATACCCTACAGTGCACAGGACAGAGCTCCACAACAAAGACTTGGTTCAAAATGTCAACAGTTCTGTGATGAGATGCCCTGGGAGGTGGGCACAGTAAGTGTGTGTTTGAGGAAGCAGTAACCAATAGGAAGGCGCGACGTTTCTAGTAATGACCTAAATGAAACAAAAAAAGTATTTAGGCAGCGGTTCTCAACCTGTGGGTCACGACCCCTTTGGGGGGAGGGGAGGTCGAACGACCCTTTCACAGGGGTCGCCTAAGACCATCAGAAAACACATATATAATTACATATTGTTTTTGTGATTAATCACTATGTTTTAATTATGTTCCATTTGTAATAATGAAATTGGGGGTCACCACAATATGAGGAACTGTATTAAAGGGTCGCGGCATTAGGAAGGCTGAGAACCCCTGCTCTAGGGAATATCTAAGCCAATAAGGCCTACATGATTCTTCTAGCTTTAGACAGCTCTTGAAAAACTTGAAGCTCCCAGAAACATTGAGCCAATTCAACTCCTAGGCTGCATGTGAGAAGACCTAAGGGTTGAACGTGTACCCAAATATTTGTCATTCATGGGACAGACAGAAGCTCTTGAGATAATTTTCCAAAATATGCAGAAGCATGAAGGTTTCTCTCTGATCGATGTTTCTAACTCTCTATCTCTCTCCCTTCCTCTCTGTAAAATCTCAATAAAATATATTTTAAAAAATAAAAATAAAAAAAAATAAAGTCAATCATACTTCTGCAGAAATTCTGAAGCAACTTTAAAATTCTGAAGCAACTTCAAGATTCTGAAGCAATTTCAAGGTTCTGCATAAAAAACGAAGTAATAAAATGTGTCTCAATAAGAATTTCCACATTTATCAGGTTTAGATTTTGGGGACTTGGGCAACTTCTAAAAATCAAAATCCTCCTCAAAGGATAAGTACCATATATATGTTTAAAGAGAATGGATACAGGCTTTGACAGCAATTCCCTGAAAGGAATCCCAAGGTAAGTTACTTTGAAGGGAAAATATTCATTTGGATTTATAAGCTTGGGTGTATGTATATTTTTTAGAAAAAATCACATTGCTTTATAGTCACATGCCATACGGAAGGTTTAAGAACTTTCAGTATATACCAAACTACTTCAGTGTTTCATTAATAGTATATTTTTACTCTAACAGTAATATTTTTAAATACACATTTTAAATTTATGGAAATAACACTCTGAGAAAAAAAAGAAAAAAGAAAAAAAAATAACACTCTAATCTTGACAAACTATGACTATATAATGTTAACTGCATTCTTACTGGGTTTATGCAGAGGCATTCAGTATTGGTCAAAGTGAAAGGATCATATTTGTCTGCGATAACAAGTAGATCAGGCAAAGGGTACACTCTCAAAGCATAGTCATATGCCCAGTATACTGGGCAGACATAGATGGGTAGAGGAGTCAGGTGTCCTTGGGATAAGATAGTCTTCACAAACTAAAAAGAATGATACAAAACAAACTTTAGTTCATTTGTAAAAGTTAAAACAACAATTTCAAATTAATTACCCAAAAGAATTAGAAAATTTGAGAAACAATTAGAACTCTGAATTACAGAGCTGTGGGAAACACAGAGATGAAATGGGATTGACTATCCTGCAGTTTAGGAAAAATTTTTGAGTTTTCATTTAATATAATTCACTGTAAAATCCAATCCCCCAATAGTCAAATTGGAGCAACTGTAGTTACTAGTATACTGTATAATAAACTCATTTAGTAATTCTGTTCAACTAAAAATAATTCATAGCTTGAGCAATGCCAAAAATAGATATTTAGCCTATATAAGCTTTAGCTATTATAAAATAAATAAAGAAAATGCTCTGTATGATCTCTTTTCATAACTTCTGAAAAGGGGGTACATGTATCATGGAACCTTGAAGCTACAAGATAAGCACTACACATCCTGTCATATCACAGGAAATATTTAGTAAACATGAACATTTTATTAAAACATATACATATATTTTGAAGTACAATGTAAGATTTATGAGTTTTAGGACAAAACAAGGAAGCTTCAATGAAATTTCCTGCTTCTTCTGAGTTTTCCTCCACCCATTAGGGGATATTTCAGTGAGAAAGTTGAGAAACACTGATTACTAACAAATATTAACTTACAAAAGTATGTTCAGATTGTAACCATAATTTATATAAACATTAGAGGGTAAATTATCAAGTGGCTTAACAAAATTTTATGCGACGCAACATGTAATAGTTTTATAAAGAAGACTGTGAACTTACATGATTAGGAATATCCAAATTGCTACTAGGAAAACGGACACAGTTTCTGCACATTTTATTCACTAAGTCTTCACGAAAGACAATAATTTCTTGTGTACAATACTGAATTCTGAAATAAAAATAGTAGTTGAATTTGACTTCATCAGAAAAAAATATGAGGTAATTTAAAAAGCAAATGGTTTTATAATACAAAATCATTCCCACTTTCCATTGTTTATCACAGCAAAAATTCCATCAGAATTTATCTATTCGTCCATTCATTAGACAGTAATTTATTGAGCTCTTAATATGTGTACTGAACTATTCTAGGAATAGTGAACAAAACAAAAGGATCCCAGTCCTCATGGAGTTTACATTCTAATGAGAAGAGGGTGATCAGAGAAAAAACAATAAACATAATTATACAGTATGTTGGAAGATGATTACATGCACGGGAAAAAGAAAAAGGTCAAGTGGGACATTTGTGGGGAGAAAGGTCTAGAAGGCTGGAGTATGAAAGAGGAGGATCAGAACAGGTAGGCTCATAATGCAGTTTGATTTGAGCACAGACTTGAAGAAGTGAGAGAGAGAGATAGAGGAAGAACATTGCAGGTAGAGGGAACAGGTATTATAAAATAAAAATAGCAGATGCCTAAGATGTAGCATGCTTGGCACATCTGATGAACAGAAAAAAAAAAAGCTGTAATGACCAGAATAGATGAGGAGAAAAGTAGGAGAGGAAATCAGAGGCATATCATACAGGGCCTGACTACCATTGCAAGGATATTGGCTGTTACTGTGTGACATGAGGGGTCCCATCTTTTAGGATCAGTAAGGGGCCTTACATTTTTAAGGATCCTCTGACATAGTGTTAAGAATAGACTACAGAAGGGTAGGGGTAGAAGCTAGAGACCAACCAGAAGGCTATTACAGTAACCCAGGCTAGCAGATGACGGAGGGTCACAAGCATGAAGCTGCAGAGAGGCAGCCAACACTGGGTATATTTTGAAGCCTTCCTTAAAAAGTTGAAGGACCACCTGTAAAACTGCGTGTGAGAGACACCCCAAGTTTTGGGCCTGAGCGACCGAAAGGATAAAGGTCCCATGACCTCTGATGAGGAAGGCTACAGAACAGGCTGGGGCCTGATACGGGAGGAAGAAGATCAGAGGTTCAGTCCGCAGTTGTTTATTAGACATCCAAGCGAAAATGATGAGTAGGCAACCGCGTATGTGAGGCTGGAGTTTGGGAGGTTAGAGCTGGATATATAAATGTGGGAGTTGTCAAAACATAGGTATTTAAAGCCATGGGGATGGATAAGGCCACAGCAGGAGTGAATGTGGGCAGAAAAGAGGAGAACCAAGGACTGAGGGTATGCCCTCAGAAGAGCCCATGATCACAGTAAGTGGCACAAATAGTAAACTTGTAATCTTTTCATTCTTCCATTGTCACTTTTTTAAAAGGATGTGTATGTAATGAGAATATCTATTTTAAAATCTCCATTAGTTGCCAGGCTGAGTTGACTCAGTGGTTGAGTATCGACCTATGAACCAGGAGGTCACAATTTGATTCCCAATTAGGGACATGTAGGCTCGAGGCAGCTGATCAATGATTCTCTCTCATCACTGATGTTTCTATCTCTCTTACCCTTTCCCTTCCTCTCTGAAATCAATAAAAAAATATTTTTTTAAAAACTCCATTAATCAAACTTCTAAATTCATTATTAGTGAATTATTTAAATATAGTTAAAATATTTTCAAAGTTTTGAGAAACATAAAGTGAAATTTTATATTTATCTCATAATAGTCACACTTCAGATACACGTTATAAGAATTTTTATGTGAAAGGAAAAAAAACCCCACAAAATTTTAATATTTACCTGCAAGGATTAGTCGTAAAAACTGAAAATGGCACTCTTTGCCTGAATTCATTAGTAATGCTTTCAGCAAGTGGTGGCCTATAAAAACAATTTATGTGAAACAGTGTATATTTTTAAACTTTATAAAATTTTCTTTACTGTCACAAAATCTGAATAAAACTTACCTTGGTAAGATGGAACCAAATCCAGGATCCTCTGGACCAGGTACAAACACAAAACGACTACTGTAGCAAAATTCAACATAATTCATTTTAAAAAACTGCAAACCAATCCAATTTTCTAAAACAAATTATTGCCTTTAATTAAGTAATAAATTTAAGAGATTTTTAAATTACATGCATTTTAATAAATGAACTACTGAGTCTCCAGACCAACACTACCAGTAGACCTTTTGCAATGACATAGCTGCAGTGTCCAATAACTGAGTGCGTGACCTGTGGCTAGTGCAACTAAATTTTAGATTTTATTTAACTTTAAATAATTTAATTTAAAGAGACACATGTGGCCAGTGACTATCCTATTGAAGAATGAAGCTCTATACTTAGGGCAGGGGTGGGGGACCTTTTTTCTACCAAGGGCCATTTGGATATTTATAACATCATTCAAGAACCATACAAAATTATCGGCTTAAAAATTATGTTGCTATGAAAAAAACTCCTAGGTTTATTGAATTTCAAGACCCACTTGTGGTTGCTTGGCAAGGCCAGACCAAATGATATGGCTTCTGGAACAGAAGTTCCTCACCCCTGACTTAGAGTAATATCACCAAGAAATTCAAAATATGGTTGAAATTGTCACTCACACTTTTAATACTTTGAACTACAAGTCTCTAGTATAGTGTAACACACATTATCATGATGTGAGGATAATTTATCTCTTAGCTGTATTAATTTCCTCAACTTTTTCTTCTATTCACTTCTTAATAATCACTGATAACAAACAAGATTCATTTAAAAAAAATAAAATTGTTTAAATAAAAAATATAGCTGCCCTAGCCGGCTTGGCTCTGTGGATAGAGCGTCAGCCTGCGGACTGAGGGGTCCCGGGTTCGATTTTGGCCGAGGGCACATGCCTGGGTTGCGGGCTCGATCCCCAGTAGGGGGTGTGCAGGAGGCAGCCAATCAATGATTCTCTCTCACCATTGATGTTTCTATCTTCCTCTCCCTTCCTGTCTAAAATCAATAAAATATATTTAAATATATATATATATATAGCAGTAGAAATCATTACCTTTGGTGAATATTGGGATATTCGCATATTATGTCTGCCAAAGTTTTTAGGGAATCTAAAATTTTAAAGGGATATTAAATTTAATTTATACATAATGCACATAAGAATCAAATTGTTTCATTAGTTAGAACCCTGTATCCTTTGAATAAAATTAAAATATAGATAATTTCGTTAGTTTATATAAATATAGAAACATTTATTCAATAGACCCTTAATACCTTTCAAAGCTTGAACTTGGTTTTTTCCATATGGTGCAGATGAAAAATTGCCACACAGAATAAAGCAGGTTGGAGGTGCTGGTGAATAACCTAAAAATATGAGAATAAATATCATTATTTTTCTAATCTAGAAATCAGGTTTAAAAGCCTTTAGCCATTGGTTGTTAATAATAAAAACAATATTTTAATAACTTATTATTTAAAAGTAATAGTAATAGTAGGTCCATTGAGCACTTATCGTATGCCAGGCCCTGCAATGGGTTGATTAATCCTCCTGACATCTCTAGAAGCTGAACAGAAATTAAGTAATCTGCCCAAGGTATTAGGCTGCAATTTATGTCAGACCCCAAGTCCAAGCTCTTGTTCACTCTTATACTACACTTAGGACTAATTCTTATGTACCATGAATACACACACACATACAGTTATTTTTCAATGTAAAAATGTGAGCCTTTAAGATGAACCCACTTAAAATATCTCACTGCTGACTCAACGTGTTTTGTTTTTTTTTAAATAAACTACTTAAAAAATGTATTTTTTAAGAATTTAGTTTTAAAACGTGACCCCTGATAACAGTTCAAAAAAGAATAATAATAATAATAAAAATGAAACCTACCAGAAAACATGGTGTGAAGTTTTTCCAACACCTCTGCTTGGTCTAACCAAACATCAGATATAAACACAAACATGGCATCTTTATTCTCATCTTCTAGTTGTTTTAGTTTTGCAGAAGTCTTGACAGATGTATTAGAAGGCCCTCCAAAAAAATTAATATTTCCATAGTATGCCCTAGGTAATTATAACACAATTATTATCTTCAATAATCTCTGGGAGATCCTATATAATAAAATGCTAATATGCAATTCGACTGAATGGTGAAAGGACTGGCTGCTATGATGTGCACTGACCACCAAGGGGGCAGAAGCTCAATGCAGGAGCTGCCCCTGGTGGTCAGTGTGCTCCCACAGGGGGAGCTCTGCTCAGCCAGAAGCTGGGCTCACAGCTGGTGAGTGCCGTGGCAGTGGTGGGAGCCTCTCCTGCCTCCGCTGCAGGCAGGCAGTAAGGAGCAAGGGGTCCCTCTTGAAGAGGGATCAGGCTGAGCTGAGGGACTCCCCCCAGTGCACTAAATTTTGTGCACCGGGCCTCTGGTATTTTTATAATTTTACAAATTAAACTTCTTTCTATCTAATGAGGTTTTTCCTCCCATCAATGTATATAGTACCATGAAAATGTATTATTTGTAGCAAACAAGTTTACTTAAATGTTCTAAAATGAGAAAAGAAGCAATACAGAAGCAGTAAATAAAATTCATAATAGGCTATATCTGTGCCTTTTAAAACTAAAGCAAATACTAAAATAAATCATAATTTCCCATGTAGTTGAAAGAGAAATGGGTACTCAATTTGAACAATATCTAATCAAAGTGCTCAAAAAGAGTACTATTTGACCAAACAATTTTACTTCTAATTTGTCCTAAGGGGTAAGAATATCTATAAAGGCTAGCCTACATTCCAGAATTGTGAAAATTTGGAGTTATACTAGAACTAGCCCTTAGTACACTGTGAGCACTCAGACATGGTAGCTGTTACTGTTGCCACCAATTATACTTGGCATTTTCAAAGGTATGACCTTACAGTTATAATCTAGCAGTTATCAGAGGAATGCAGTAAGTTGATACAATTGTATGCTGACTTCAATTTAATAAATACCCAAGCATAAGCCAGAGCATCACAGAAAGAAATACCTATTAAATTGATTCTTCAGAAATTAAAGCTCATGCAAGACTTACTAACATTATCTGTCCATGGATCATGAAATATAAGGTGCAAGTACAGGATCAAGAGGAAGGCCTGACAATACATATTATCCTAATTTGTCAAATTTGAAAAGAAAGAAATATTCTAGAAATTCTAGGATAACAACCCTATATGATATACTGTGCAATGGTAGGAAGGCATTAGGTTAGTATAAATCCTTTTGGGACAGGACCATTATTTGTGCTTATTTGCACATAAAAAATATTTAATAAAATATCTGTTGCTGAATCCACTGACCACCAGAGTTTTATTTGGAAGGTGTTTAAAGAGAAAAGTAATTTTTAATCCTAACAGGAATAAAATGATTATTTCATTTTTTAATTTTTTATATATATTTTATTGATTTTTTACAGAGAGGAAGGGAGAGAGAGAGTCAGAAAGATCGATGAGAGAGAAACATCGATTAGCTGCCTCCTGCACATCTCCTACTGGGGATGTGCCCGCAACCCAGGTACATGCCCTTGACCGGAATCGAACCTGGGACCTTTCAGTCCGCAGGCCGACGCTCTATCCACTGAGCCAAACCGGGTTCGGCGATTATTTCATTTTAATGTACTTTATGACAACTCATACTAGTCTTCAGTGTACTAAACACAGAGAACAGTTCAATTTAGAAAAAAATGGCATAATTTAAAAGGAATATTTGAGACATTACAATGATAATCTCTTTGCTAAATTGAAACAAATGGTAATAGTCATGGCCAGCTTCCTTAATTATACTTCTCATTCTAAAGTAGCAATTTTGAAGCTTGTATGAAACTAAAACAGCAATTTTGATTGAAATGTATTTCAAGGAAACCCTACCAGGTTGTAAAAAGCCACAAACTAGCATTGAAAACATTCACTTAAAAGAGAGCTGGCTTGATGAGGGCTTGTGCTCTCCTTAGTGTGACCAGCATTGTCCCCAAATTACTTCAAAGGAAGAGGGCTGCACTGCAAAGGCTGCCTTGCCAGGACTCCCAGCCAGGAGACATGGCCTCTGCACCCGAACTGATACAGGTATGTAGAACTAAAATCTTAATCTTGACACTCCTTTAAATATTTACCATTACAATAGATTCTAAAGTTAGAATACAACTTTAATTCCCCTAGAGGTAGCAAACTCAAATGCTGGCAAGGCTTCAAGGAGGAAACACAGGTATCGAAGTAGCCAACAGCTGAGGCTGACTAGGAATGAGCTAGGGTGCACACATATTACCTTCAGTAGGGTTGTAGCTAGGTGAGAATTCAGGCACCATGTTCTCAGATCTGATGGTTCAAGAGAACTCAGAAATCTAGACTTTTATGAGAAATCTCCTATTTTTAAACACTGGAACTAACTCAAAATGTGTTTTAACATCTCAAAGGGGAAAGAAAGGTCTGTAGACAACATTCAACCCACAGCCCACCAGCTTTACTTTTATACCATCAGTCAGCTTCTGCTCAAATAGCTCAAATGATAGGAACTCACTCCTCTCAGAGAAGGCCCTTTTGGAATAACTCTAATATTATGGTGCTTTCACTTATATTAAAGAGCTACAGAAGCTGCCTCTTGTAACTTTCACTCAGTAGAATATAAAAACAAGAAATTTATATTATCACTAGAGACCTGGCACACAAAATCATGTGTGGGTACGGTCCCTAGGCCCAGCCTGTGATCAGGGCCATGTTCCCAGGCTGCTGGCAGCCGGCCCTGCCCTCTGCAGCCACCCACCCATTTCACACCCAGTGGTGGGAACCTGAAGGCCCTGGGGGAGGGACCAAGAGGTCAGCTGACCACTGGCCCCACCCCCACTGCCGCTGGTCGCCCTCTGTGTGTGGCGTGATAGGCAGGGTGGGGGTCTTGGCCTGGCACTGCCCACATCTCCTGCCACCCACCCCGGGTCCCCATTTGTCATTGGCAATCGGAGCCTGCCAGCCAGGGAAAGGAACCAAGAGGTGGTCAGTGCACCTCATAGTGACTGACTGAGCAGTCGTTCTGCTGTTATGGTTGCTGGGATTTTATTACTTAGGATGGCAATTATATTCTCCTAAGTGTTTTTCCTATCTCTTATCTCAGTTGAACTTCTCATCTACCCTACAGACAGGTAAGACAGTTCAATTAGAAATCTTTTCCAGTTAAAGACAAGTATGGAAATGCTTTTGCAACTGATCTGGAGTCAATCCACTAGTTTTCAGTTACATATACTACCCAGTCTTCTAATTCTAATTTTCCATTGCTCTTTGAGTTCTGACACAAAGCCTGAGGCCTTGTAATAACCAAGATATGACATACTATCTAACATTAATTACTGTCAGCATTACAAAATTCCTAAAGTGTTTAAGTCAAACATGTTTATACCTAGTAGTGCTAGAGGGCTCAGTGGGTGGAAATCCAAAGGCATTGACATGAAACACTTGATCTTCAAACCAACCTGAAAAAACATAAGTCAAAAATCACTTTCATTTGTCCAATTCTCCTTCTTGTTTGAAAGGACAAAACTATAGAACACAAAGCAGTAATACTAGGCTGTCATCTCATCCCTTGTCAACTAACTACAGAAGGTGCCAGTCCCACTGAGCTAGAAAACAACTTCAGATCCAGAGACAGTCTCAGTTCTATTAAAACAAACAAAAAACCTTCATGAAATAGAAATAGATTCAGAATTGAAACTTTTCATTTTACTCAGAATGCATGTGTCAATAAAGAGAGATAAGGTACCCTGATTAGGAAATCTTTTATCTTACGACCCTATGTGAAATCTGTTTTTTTTCAGCTTTATTGATATAATTCACATATCATACAATCCACCTCTAAAAGTATATAAAGTAAAACTGTTAGTATATTTACAAGTTGTACAACCTTCACCACTGATGTCAGACTGCTTTTATCAACCAAAGAGAAACCCGTGCCAATTAGCAGACTGAGAGTCACTTTAAGTTGTCAAAAGGCTGCTTTTACAATTGCTGCTCTCCCAAATTATACCATGTTAACGCATTTTAAACAATGTAGAAATGGTTTTACTGTAGAATGATGAATACTGACTTACCTTCTGCTAAAACAAAGCATGACTCTGTGTATAAACCACTATGGAACTGGTACACACAGTTGAGGAAAATAATTTTATTTCTATGCTTGAGGTAGTGATAGTCAACACACTTTTTGGGCCTGACAGGACTTCTAAATAATAATTAAAGACTTCACATTTGAAACTATGGCTAGATCACACCTTAAAAAATTTTAGTTTGAAATATACCTATGTCTGATTCTAGGACATAGCTGGTAATATTGACAGTATAAATCATTCTTGGCATGTTATAAACTCCCTCAGTGATTTGTCTGGACTCTCCAGATAAGAGGGAAGTAGGTTTTTTTGTGTCTCTATTTAGGATTGTGTTTCTACAATAAATTCTTACACCACCACCATATGAAAGTTACACCAGGAAACCAAATAGCTAAATTTGGGAATGATATATAATCAATTTCCCTAACTTGAAGATTTAAAAAAATAAAAGAGAAGGATATAGGTTTAAGAAAATAAAAGTGAAGGATATAGCTTTACTAAGATCCAGTTGTACTGTGCCCGTCGGATCTTCCAGAAAAAATTTTCCCTAAAAATAAATTAAAAGACATATGTCCACAATTATGTAAAAATGAATACAATAATAAAATAATTAAAATACTGACAATTTTGACAACAGAATATAGTAGAGAGTATAGTATACTTAAAAAATCAACAATTCCTGCCTTAGCTGGTTTGGCTCAGTGGCTAGAGCGTCAGCATGCGGACTGAAGGGTCCGGGGTTCAATTCTGGTCAAGGGTACATGCCTGGGTTGCGGGCTCGATCCCCAGTAGGGGGCGTGCAGGAGGCAGTTGATCAATGATTCTTTCTCATCATTGATATTTCTCTCTCTGTTTCCCTCCCCCTTCCTCTCTGAAATCAATAAAAATATATTTTTAAAAAATCAACAATTCCTAGTCTAGGCTTTTCCATTTACTAATCTGGTGACATCAGATAAACCACTTAATTGAGACTCAGGCTCCTAGATACTCAAAGAATGACCACTGAAGATCAAGAGATGGCAAGAGGACACTTGCTGGCTGCCATTGGACCTCACCTGGTGCCTCACATAAGAGAGTCAACAGTGTCTCCAAGGGACCAGGATATGGTCTGCAGCTTTGTTTGTTCAGAAACTCAGTACTCTCAGTGCAACCAGAGGTCACTGGGAGACTAACTGCAGACTATGCAATCTGGTAGCCTGTAGAAGACACTCCTTCCAGATGTCTCCCAGGAAACCAAATACAGATGAAAAGGCTACTTGGTAACTGAGGAATGAACCATCAATGAAGACTGTGCCCCTGCCCAGCAGGTGTGGCTCAGTGGTTGAGTGTTGACCCATGAACCAGAAGGTGATGGTTCGATTCGCAGTCAGGGCACATGCCCAGGTTGTGGGCTCGATCCCCAGTGTTGGGTGTGCAGGAGGCAGCCGATCAATGATTCTCTCTCATCATTAATGTTTATATCTCTCTCCCTCTCCCTTCCTCTCTAAAAACAATAAAAAGTCTTTAAAAAGACTATGCTCCTGTACCTCTGTAGAGATGCTATATGTAACTGACATTTCATTAATCTGAAGGGTGCACATAAAAGTATGATGCTTATTAAGTTTAACTTACCTCTTTTAGCTGTGTTATCATTCCAAGAACAATTACATCTCCAATTTTGGTTGTATTGCCCAATAGGGTTTCTATTGTTTTAAGCTAAAATAAAACAAAATAAATTCTTAAAGATTGAAAATATATTCTTTTAAGAAACTAATCTTTGCCCTGGCTGTGTAGCTTAGTTGGTTAGAGTATCATCTTGATATGCCAAGGTTGTGGGTTCAATCCCCAGTTAGGGCACATACAGGAATCAACCAATGAAGGCATTAATAAGTGGAACAACAATTGGAGTTCTTAAAAAACATGAACCTAAAGCAACACAGGAGTGTAATGTACATTTAAAAAATTGAAATACTTAGAGATAAATCTAAAGGAAAAGATATAAAATAAATAAATAAAAGTATATCAGACCTGTAACCTAAAAACTGGATTAGGTAAAAATTTCTTAGACACAACACCAAAAATATCCAATAAAAAAAATTGTTAGTTGGACTTCAACAAAATTAAGGACTTAGGTTCTTCAAAAACAATTAAGAAAATAAAAATAAATTTTAAAAACTGGGAAAAACATTGCAATTCACATAAAATAAATCAATCACTCAATCAACTGATCAAGCAAATAAGCAACACAGGGATACAAAGCTGCAAGAAAGGATTCCTGAGGACACCATTTTGCAATCTCTAAAGGGAGACCAGCAAATAGGTATTATAAGGGGTAGTTCAAATAGGGAACTTACCACCAAGGATACAAAATTAAATAGCTTGGAAAGACTGAAAAGAAAAATAAATTACTTAGCTAAGCCTTAAATTAATTATTTAGGTAGAGAGGAGAAATATTGCTTCCAGACTGTGGGTATCAAAGTTGCCATAGGAGACCATAAATATATATGTATATTTATACAAATATACATATATATTTGAGAAATATACATAATATAAATTTCCAAAAACATACTATATATTTTTCTCTTAATAAAAGTTAAAAGCAGAAACTATCAAATACTATAAATGTCTTGTCCTACGGTGCTGCCATCAAGCATTAATTTGAGCATTCTCTAGTATTATGGTTTTAGTATCTATGAGACTACTCATCTTCAACGTTTCTCATCTAACTTGGCAGAGAACTTGATGAATCTTAAAAGAGGCTGGGCCTCTTCAGAACCTATTTGGAACCTTGCAGAAATGGTAGGGCCCAGACACAAGTAGCTAAGGAATTATCCCCACTGCAGGGTTCTGTGTGCTGGAGAGAGAAAGACAGCCACCGACAGGCTGACAGTGACTGTGTTGCTGGAACAAAAGTGAGAGTGCTGGTTGGTAATCACTTTCCAAGGTATAAAAGTGGAAGGAGCACACATGAAGGAAACTCTCCCTTTGACCTCTGCTCCTCGGATCCCAACAGCCCTGTGGCCTGTCTGTGACATCTCCTTCATTCTGTAGATGTTGTTCTTTAGTGCCATATAAAGTTTTCATTCCAACTGATATAGTATATTTTAGTTGAACAAGTGTGGTAATCACTAGAGGGCTGGGCTGGGCAAGGACCAGTATTTTTGAGTATGAGTGAAGGCAAAGGGAAATGCTGAGAGCTGGACAGAGCCAGTGTAGTGTATAGCAAATGGACTGGGAAGACTAGGGGTCCGTCTTGGTGCCAGAGACACTCTGGGGGCTACACAATCCCAGGGCCTGCTTCAAAGAAGGAAGTCAATGCTTTTAATAGAGATTTGCAGGACTCAAGGACTTTATCAACAGTGGGCATGCACAGGTCAGTTAGCTAGTCAATTACTAGTGGTTAATTTTCATTAAAATTTCAGTAAATTATAATAAGCAGTAAATATTAAATTTGTATACTTACACCACCTAAATAATTAGAATAATGTTCTAACCTGGAATTTGCTTCCGCTTTCATCAGGGTGAGAACCTATCACTGGAGGAGTAAATAATTCATGTCTGTGGGTTCTCTATAAAAAAGAAAGATTCACATGAATTACTGAGGCATACATTTAAAACAAAGACTCATTAAAATAGTGCTCTGACAAAACACTGTCCTTAAGTTAATGTTTGTTATCTATTTTCAACAAATTTGAAAACCCACATAACTTAATACAGAAACCTAGAAATAAAATTATTTTTAAAAAATTTAAAGGTCTATTGTATACCTGGCAGCAGCACACTCTGGCCTAGGGATGTGAAAACAACAAACCAAGTTGTCATTCTCAGAGCATGAGGCTAGTGAGAGAGAAGTACCGCCAACAGGTCACAACACAAAAAAGGACCCTTGGCAGAGGGGCCATTTAACAAGATCCTAAATGATAAAAAAAAAAAAAAAAAAAAAAAAAAAGATTTTGCTAGTAAGAATCAAAGGGAGGCTGAGACAAGACACTTCAGCCAAAGGAAGGGGTGTGTCACAAGAACGAGTTATGAGAGTAAAGGAGTGTCTAGGAACTGTAGCAAAGTTTAGTACAGTTAGAGCCTGAGATGCGTGAGGCAGAATATCAGACAAGGCAAGAGATTAGTTGGAGCCTCTGTTTGGGAAACCCTCCTTCCCCCAGTGTCAGTCCATGTAGTGTAGGTAGAGTTGATGCCTCTTCCCCTTTCAATAGACAGGCCACCAAGGCCTAATGAAGCAAAGTACTCCATCTCTTTGACCATTGCTTGTCTCAGGATTAAGCAAGGACCTCAAGCTGGGCCAAAAAGAGATTACTGCTAAGGTTACTAGTAGCCATCTCTGTCACCTTATAGATAGAACTTGTTAGAAAGTAAAATCAGCCAAAACCGGTTTGGCTCAGTGGATAGAGCGTCGGCTTGCGGACTGAAAGGTCCCAGGTTCGATTCCGGTCAAGGGCATGTACCTGGGTTGCGGACACATCCCCAGTAGGAGATGTGCAGGAGGCAGCTGATCGATGTTTCTCTCTCCTCATTGTTTCTAACTATCTCTCTCCCTTCCTCTCTGTAAAAAATCAATAAAATATATTTTTTTAAAAAAAGAAAGTAAAATCAAATTTAAAAATTGCGGGGAGATGGATAGAGGTAGATGTCTCATGATATTGTATGAGCACCTGGATCCAGTCATGCTTGATATAGGTGGAGCCCTAGACTTCTCCATAATACAAGCCAATAAATTCCTCTTTCTGTTTTAGTCAACTGGCATTTCTGTAGCCTCCAATAACAGAGTCCTGACAATACAGACTTTGTATGCCAAACCAAAAAGCTTATCTTATAGAAAATGGAAAACAAAGATTTTGAAGTAGAATAATGATAAAATCAGGTTGGCTTTCAGGAAGGCAACTGTGATGAAAATGTGAATGGACTAAAATAAAATGTAAGGCTTTAATTTCATAGATGAGGACAAAAATTCTCAAAGGGTTAGTGACACACCCAAAAGAATATCGTAGGCTTTAAGACACAATTTTTTTTAAAAAAAGAAACGTCGTATTTACTAAGCATCTTCCCTGTGAAAAGCACTGTGCCAGATGGGGCAGAGAAAACAAGGAGCCTGCAGTCTGATGACAGGGATAAGCACCCCAAATGCAAGGTGGGGCCAACTCTAGTAAGTGATGGAAAGGAAACACTGAGTAGCCAATGGTTTAACCCTACCAGACCACTGTACCAATTTTTCGGTAATTTCCACACAAAGGTGGAATATTGGTGCTAGGTGAAAGGTAGACCTATTTTCTACAATGTCTTCAAGTTCCATCTTATTCTAACCACTTGTTTGCATGTAATTCATATTTTTCTATATCATGTTGGTTTTTTCTCTTTAATGCTCAGGAGCCCAGGTATAAGGACACTTAGGTTCAGGGCCTCAGGTCTGGTAGGATTAAAACAGAGATTTAAACCACTGCAACAAACTGGAGATTAAGAAGGGCCTCAGGAAAGAAGAGGAATTTGAGAAGAGCCTTCCCGAAGTATGAGGGTTTCAACCAGAGATAAGAAGGAAGGGAGTGAACAGTCTAAGCAAAGTCACAGAACAGAGGAAGAAACAAACAATAATTCCAAACTTCAGTTTTGGCTCTAGCACAGTATGATTAGAGGATAAGTAGAGATTAGGTCAAAAACATGTGACAGATCTCAAGTATCCTATCTAATAAAGAGGTAATATGCAAACTGACCATCACTCCAACACACAAGATGGCCAGCAGGGGAGGACTGTTGGGGGCGACCAGGCCGGCAGGGGAGGGCAGTTGGGGAGTTCCAGATTGGAGAGGGTGCAGCCTGGACTGAGGGACATACACCCCCCCATGCACGAATTTCCTGCACCGAGCCTCTAGTTAAGTATAATTTGTATTTAATTCAATAGGCAGATTTCCTGGAAAGAATTCTGTTCAAAGTCATGAGATGGTCAGAGCTCCATCTCAAGATCAACCTGGAACATTATGTAGGTGATGAAAGGAGGAGAGAACAGACATCTTCAGTGCTCATTCTTTTCAGTTTTTTCACTGCTTATGCCTGTTGCCATTTCTCTCCTCCTTAAAACCTTGTGCTTCTGCCTTATAACCATCCTATAATGGCCCCCAAATTCTATCCTCTTTCCTTTTCTTTTTTTTTTTTAAATATATTTTATTGAGTTTCTACAGAGAGGAAAGGAGAGAGATAGAGAGTTAGAAACATCGATGAGAGAGAAACATCGACTAGCTGCCTCCCGCACACTCCCCACTGGGGATGTGCCTGCAACCAAGGTACATGCCCTTGACCGGAATCGAACCTGGGACCCCTAAGTCCGCAGGCCGACGCTCCATCCACTGAGCCAAACCGGTTTCGGCCTCTTTCCTTTTCTATTGCCTCTTCCTATCAGGATCTCACACCTAAATAGTCCATCTATTACTATAAGCAGATGCACCCTTTATCTCTCTCTACCCAGATGCTTTCTTGAGTTCAGACATAACTTTTACCTGATACCCTACTATAACCTTAACTCAAATGTTTAAAACAGGACGTGTCATCATCTTCTTCAAACATTATCTTGTTCCTATCTGTTAACATATTACCATTATTCTACCATCCTACTCCCTCAGATTCAAACCGTTAACCATCTTTGAATCTTCACTCTCTTCCTTCTTCACATCCAACCAGTCAGCATGAACTATGGCTTTCGCTGCCCCAGTGCTGCCCCCTCTGTCTACTCCACTCGCCATTTCCTTCATCCTGGCTATCTTTTATGCTGGGACTAACACCACAGCTCTTGTGAGTCTCCTCTCACCCTCTAACTCACCCTCTGCTGGTAAAGGAAGCTGAGATTGAGTCTCTGTCTCTCTCTCTCTCTCTCTCTCTCTCTCTCTCTTTCTTCCTCTCTCTCTCTGGTATTCCAAGGCTCCTTGTACCAAAAGAACAGAGTCCTAACTCCCGAGTGCCATCCAAGGCACTCCCACAATTTGGCTCCCAAGTACTTTTCCAAAGTTATCCCATAATGCTCCTCTTCATGAGCCTTCCCCCCCACACAAAGTGGACAGAGTCCATTTTTTCCTTTTGCTGTGCCTCTGTTCGCACTGTTACCACTACTACCTTTCCCCCAGTGCCACAAGAGCAAAACAATCAATGTCCATGTCAAGTGCCATAGTTTCCTTGAAGCCTTCCCTGGTTTTTCCATTGAATGCATTTTATTTGTATCTCTTTTATAGCAAGTATAAAATTGTACTTTATATTTTATTTGTGCGAATGTCTTTAACTCCATAGACTACAAGATGCTTGAAGCTGATATACTAGACTATATCAGGCAAAGTTTGGGCTCCAGAGTTAGACTAGCTGGATTAAAACCTTGTCTCTACTTCCTAGATGTCATATTTGGGCAAGTTTCTAAACTTCTCTAGATCTCAGTTTCCTCATTTGTAAAATGGGAATAATAGCATTTATACATTGATATTATGATGATTAAATAAGGTAAATAATGTCTATAAAGTGATAAACAGTGCCTAACATATCAAAAACATATAATAGCTAGCTAGTTTTTTTTTTGGGCCAGGTGCAAACAGCCTCCATTTTTGCTTTCCCAAGAGTGGTGATAAAGTTCAGTCTTCACCTCTGAACCAGGAGGCTCGATCCCCAGTAGGGTGGGTGCAGGAGGCAGCCGATCAATGATTTTCTCTCATTGATGTTTCTATCTCTCTCCCCATCTTCTTTCCTCTCTGAAATCAATTAAAAAACAACACATGTAATAAATGTTAGCTACTATTTTTATCATCATCATGATTGCTAAGGGGAAAGTATCTTTTTTATTTCTGTGTCCCTTACAAGGTCTCAAACATAGGGAGACCAATAAATGTAATGAATGACAAACTTTAGACTACAAAATTCCATCTTTTTATTATCCTCAAGTCTTACCTAAGCTGAAACAATGTCTTTCCCCAAGAACTTACCTGGTGTAAAATGGTGTAGCGTTCACGAAACAGCTCTGCTTTATCTCTTGCTGTTCCAAATAAATTTGGTTTAGGGTGGTTGGTCATTAATAGACTATTAAAAAAAAAAGGAATCCCTACTCATGACTTCTGAAAATAATGTACATTTGGAAATTGTTTAAAGTCAATGGATGGAATACTTACGGAAGAAATTTTTTTCTTTCTAAATTATACACAAAGCGTGGAATATCAAACGCTCCTATGATATTGAAAATATGTTCTCTGAAAAACATCCCACAAAAACATAGACCTGATTTACTAAAACGTAAGTATTTTAGATGGACATGAAAACTTGCACAATAATCTTACATACATATATACTTTCTACAGGTCATACACACAGTATCTTATACTGTCAAAAAACACAGAGTCAAAGGTTAGCTTGCGCATTTTCCTCTCTAAACACAAGAAAGCACTGCCAATATTCTCAAGCAAAGAAAAAAATTTAGTCAGATTAACTTCTAATTAAGACGGTCACATGTTGAAAAAGAGCATTTATGTATAAAATAGTCACATCTGAAAAAAATTTCCGATATGAACTACTTTTATGAGCTACAATATTATTAAAGGATATGATTAATTTTCAATAATTTTTTATTCCAAATTATGCAAAAGTATTCCAGAAAAAGATGTAAAATAGAAAAAGAACTCCCCCAAATTCTGGTCACATCTTTGAGACTTACAGATAGAGAAGGAAAATGAACAAAATAATTTTACTTTCATGTACTTATATTATGTTAATAACATAAACATGTTTGAAAGAGGTTTAAAAAAAAGTCACAGCACTATTGCATAAATATTCCAACAACAAAAAAAATCTTCCCTAAAATGATAGCTGTTTATCTCCAAAACTGAAAACAGTAAAAAAAATGTTCATGCTACCATAGTAGCACTAAGTATAGAGTAGCAGAGAATCCTGGACTTGAGGAAAACCTAGAATGCAAGCACAGCTCTACTATGTTCTAGTGGATCAATCTTGACAAGTTATTGAACTCATTATGGCATTTCTCTACCTAGAGAAATGAGAGCCTCTCTTATGCTATACTATGACTTTCTGACAACTGAAGTTACAAAGATTATTTACCATTCAGTCCCCGCTGGACTTCTACATTGGCTGACCAGAGCATATAAACAGCTAGACAGAAATTACTGGTAACTTTAATGCCTATTTTATGATTATCATCCTTACACTTCTAAACAATCATTTAAAATTTTAATTGATGGCTTTAAGAGCACGTCACTATACTCTAGTACCTTAAATAATGAATTTCCAAGGATAAAGTTAAAATTCCCCGATTTCTCTATTGTTTTAGCAGCTCTTTGTTCTGATAGGAAACTAAAACGATTGACCAAAATAACAGTAATGAGTCCTTTCAATGATCTCATTGCCCCGAATAGAAAAAAATTGTTAAAGTTAAAACCCAGATGTTTTTCTCTCAGTTAAACCTTGTGAATTTGCAAAGAAGTATCACTTTCAAAAGGAGGAAAGAAAGAGGGCCACTCAGGGAAATAAAACCCAGGAAAATGACTGCTATGCAAATTCCTAAGCTCTAGTAGCATGAGATGGGGAAAGTCATAAAACTGAGTTTCTACCTCATTTGCCATCCACCATGTGACCCATGTTAAGTCTTTGAACTTCTCTAGGTTCAGTACTTTCCTGAGAGCAAAAGTCAGTTATACTTTTGAATATTAAATTCAATTCATTCATAACCTACAGAATATAACATTGGATAAGAGGTAAAAGTGGTCATATAGAAACAACACGATTACCTCAAATCCTAGGAAAAAATAGTAAAGATGAGTTATTTGATAATGAGGTTTTAATGCAGGCTATCACTTTAAAGGAAACACTAGGAAATAACCACTACAGATTTGTTGACCACTAATTAATTTCCCCAAGAAAATAATTTTTAGAAAGCACCTCCAACATGGGGGAAAAGTTCATTTTTTCCACATACATAGTTTCATCTACCGACTGACTGCATTCCTGGACTGCTGCCTCCACTACAGATCGTTCAATCATGTTGGATGACACTGAAAAAAGAATTTCAAAGTCAAGTTTTAAAAACAGGCTTAAAAATTAGTTCTTCCCACAGATAGCTTTTTTCCTACAAATAATCTGCAGACACTAATGCAGATGTTCTCATTACACAGTTTTTAGGAGGGAAAAAAGTATTAGGTCAGAACATTAACAAAAGCCATAATTTAAATACCTTAACTGTGTCTTACTGTTGTAAATATTGTTTAGCAATATTGTAAGCTCCTAGGTTTAATAACTTTATATTAGTATAACTTTTTATCACAAGTGCTATATCTTAGTAGCCATGATAATAACAATAACAGCTACCACTTATTAAGATGTGTGTTTGGCACTATGCTCAGTACTATATAAGCATTCTCCTATTAGAGAGATATTCTATGAGATTAATGTCCATATGCCCATATCTTACAGATGAGGAAAGTGCAACTTTGAGAGGTTGAACAACCTGCCCAACAGTATAACTAGAACAGCATCACAAACCGAAGCCTGATTCTACAATGGGTCTCCTTAACCACTTTGGTATGTTCTCAGGCAAAATACCATGTGCCATCTTAATTTTACAAATACCAATTTTTAAAATATAACCATTTTCTGAATTTTCAAACTGTAAATAACTTTTTAAAGCAAAATTATGTTTAAAATTCTGCCTTTACAGTAAAATCTCAAACATTTCTCATAGCAATATTTTTTCTGATATATCTCCTTGGGTAGTGGAAACAAAAGAAAAAATAAACAAGAAAATAAACAAATAGACTACATCAAACTAAAGAGTTTTTGCACAGCAAAGGAAACCATCAACAAAATCAAAAAACAACCCAATGAATGAGAGAACATATTCTC